TATATACACTTTATTATTTTTATAGATATTAAAAATCTTGATATTGTCATTAAAGAGTTAACATCAGATTAGCACTTGTCCCGTTCTGTATGGCACAGACTAGATCTACAGTTAGGATTATATGATCCTAGAATAGTGGATATAGATGAGAGACACAGAGGAGATCCAGTAAAATGTTTCCATGCTTGTATGTCTGCCTGGTTAAGAGGAGAAGATAAAGTGAGAGAGAAAGGAGGTCCCAGTTGGTCATCATTAGCTACAGCACTGGATACAATATAAGAGAAATCTATTGCTACTAACATTAGAGATAAATATTGTACATCAAACCAGTTAATTGCCTAGTTTTTTTTGTTTATTAAAATTATTATTTTCTATTACCGTACAGCCGGAAAATTTGATGGTCTAAAACTTTGGTGGTACTCAGCTCTTCTTGAAGCTGCTCCTTGGCAGTCCTTGCCCCAGTCTTGACTGAAATAGTGAGAAATACTGCAATTTTGGCATTTTTTAGTATCATGTGCCTATGAAGGAATCCGCCCATCATTGCATTATTATTGGTGGTTATAATATTGGCAGTTTTATTTTGAACCGCCAATCCGCCAAATTTAATTCTCCGCCAAATTTTCCAGCTATACAGTATCACTTATTTTGTTAAGATGGCTGCCTACAGCCTACGGTATCTTACTTTGTTCTGTTTATAACTATTATTATTATTAATGATACATTATTACAAGATGAATGAAAAACATTAAGGGGACGAGCCAAGCAAAGCATTATACATCATTATTACTATTTACGTCTGTCTGTCTGTTGCTAATAAAAAATTTGAGTTGATTCCGACAACAAATTTTGTGCAATGGGCAATTTTTGACTTACTACATCACTACTAAACATGCACACTAGCATCGTTACTATAAATAGTATCAATTACTACAATAGACAATGATATATCATATACTACAATAGCATAGTTTCAATCAATAGCATTGTACTATAAATAGTATCAGTGTTACTATAAATAGTATCATTTACCTCTATTCCTAAGGAAGAATGACACCATGTCTCAGTTCCAGTCTCCAGTGCATTGAGTGAGAAGGAACATTGATCCAATGAATTAACTAAGATACACTCCTAGATCAAGAGAGACCGAGATTTTATGAAATGATGACAAAGACAGAGTTTGTAAGAGAGAGGGACCATCTAAACATGAAAAGAATAGGAGGTATTTTAATCTCAATTTTAATTTTATCATAAAATTGTAAATACTTACCTGGAGTGTTATAGCTAAACATTCTACAGTATTCCAGTGGATGAATGGCAGCAATGATCATAGCATTAGAGACACTGTGGACCACTGGATAATAATGAAGTTAAGGATCATAATTGTACATTATTAATGATTAATGGACATGTACATGTACCTAACTCAGGGAGAGAAATAATAAGAAGAAAAGAAAGGATAAAGAAAGAAAGGAGTATAGACCTAGGGTATTTTTTTTTGAATTTGGCCTTTTCTGAATATGCCGGTAACTTGAAAACTTTAAGTCCGAATCAGCTCAAACTTCTACACAGCATAAGGAAATCAATATGTACATGTATCAGAAAATCTAAATAAAATTTGGAATGATTTTTTAGCCATTTTCTAGAAAAACCGTGGGCTCCAAAATCTAAATAGTACTCAAGGCTATATAATTATAGCCTTGAGTATTTGGAAATTTTTAAATGGCCTAAATCAAAAAAATTTAAGTCAGAATCAGCTCAAACGTGGTACACAGCATAATGACATCAATATCTATCAAAAAATGTACAAAAAAATTTGGAGCCAATTTTGGAAAAGCCTAATGCTAAGAAATGTGCCTGGGGCATTAATAAGGATACACATAATCCCATCCTCAGTGAGAGTGAACAGCAGTGGCCAACTAAAAATGATGTCTTTTCAACTTCCCAACATATTGTGGAAGAGTGTCATCATACTGGAAGGACTCCATGAAGACTAAAGAGAGGCCATTAGATTATTGTTGGAATGAGAAGGAGGTATTTAAAGAACTGTCATTAGCTAGTCGAATGACATCACCTTTATGAGAACCAAGTACTGTTAGTGTATCAAGACTGGAGCCTATTGAGAGGAGAATAATTAATAACTATTAATAACAAAATGTATTGATGAGGAGAAACTTGAAAAATTCATAAGAAATCCAAATTTAATTGGCATCAGCTCAAACTTTATATGCAACATAAGAAAACATATGCATCAGAAAAAATTATTAAAATGCTGAAATTAACTACATGTACATGTATCAAAATATTAAAAATGAAGAATTGTCTTTTTTCATTTTTGAAAAAATTTGGCCAAATCCTTGTACAGGGTCTTTGGCCCAGTTTATGAGCAACTTGACAATCCAATAAAAAAGCTGATGCCAAAATTTGTGGGAAATCCTGACACATTGATGTCTTTATGTTATGTACTACATGTATGTAGAAAGTTATTAACAAACAATTTTTGAGTTATGACCATTTAAAAACAATTTAATTTTCAAAAAAGGGTTTTTTCTGATAATTAACTCCAAAATTACCCTAATTTTTTATTACATTTTAAATACAAATTAATGTTCTTTATGCTATGCGAGCTGAATCTTATAAATAATTTTTAAGTTATATTTTTAAAAGCAAAGCAAATTGCAAATTTGCTCCGAAATCTCCCCTATATACATGTAGTACATTTTAAAAATATCCATGTACATGTACTTTATTTACATTCCCTTACTCTGTGAGTAATGTTGCTCTTGTCTTTAAGCTGATTCTCATCTCCAAATGCTCTCTTCTCATTTTAGCCTCTACCATCACCGGCATGTGGGCAGGGTGAAATGGATACTGTATAAACCAAGTGATAAACAAAGTGATGCACTGTATTAATGAGGGATTTTGTACCTACTTGCAGCAAGTAAAGGTTATTAGCCAGACCTTTGGCTAAGAATACTGGTATATATAAACAGAGAGAAGGAAGGCTGGAAGGGTAGCCTAGGGTGAGGAGACTGTTTGTTAGTACACTCACTGGTATACACCATGACGACTCCAGTCCACGTGGTTAAAAGGCAAGGTCAAGCACGCCCCTGAGATAAGATGCATGCAATAAAAAATTATTTTGTACCACAAATTGTATTAATTTTTGCCAAAAAAGTTAGTATAAATTTCAATTTCAAATTAAAGTCAAGCCCTGATGATTTTAGAAGAATGAAGACCTTGCTGATTTCTACAGAAATAAAAATTCTGCTCAGAAGTATTTTTATTTATAATGATGAATAAGACAAACCTGAGTGTCAAGTAATCTTTCAAACCTATACTTCTTGATTTAGCCCACTCCATTAGTGCAATCCTATAATAAACATTTGATGCTATAATGATAAGTTTACTCTATAAAATCATTTTGAGGTACAACTGAGGCCGCAACCATGTCCAGCTATTGCAATGGGACTTCCGGTCGCATTAATTTAATGATATTCATTGGAATTACCATAGCAACGGCAGCTCAGCAATGGTGGATGGTGGCAGCAATGGTGGCAGCTCAGCAATGGTGCAAACAACTGACAATTAGGCTTGACTTACAAGCATAAAATATTCCTTGACATCACCTCACCAATGAAGCACTATGGTGCAATGGACTCGCCTGCTGGAATTCACCTGAGTGATATGTATTACTTGTACTGTGATATTTTAAGCAATTTGAAAAAAAAAATTATTATTGACTGCAGAGTTATGATAATTAAAATAAGCTATGGGTGTGGTCAAAAACTAACTAGCTAAATCATGGCACATGGGTAGGAGAAAGAAGAAAAGCTGAAATTTATTTTAGCATCTGGAGCTCTATTTCAAGAAAGAGTTGGCACAGAAAATTTTTCTAGATATTTAAAAGAGACTGAGAGAGTTTGGTTGCTCCTGCTTTCCCCAGTGCCGCCTGAAAAATTCTCAAAGAGGCTAAACCACAAACTTTGAGCAACTGTAACTCACAAACAACGAAGTTAGGACAAAATCGTTCTTTTTATTTTTCGTTAGATGGAATTTTCTACCTCTGAAGCAAATCTCGGCCCTGTAGAGTAAAACATGAGCTCTCATCTGAAGAGAGGTCCCCTGGTTTAGCCCGGCTGCAGTTCACAGCTTTTGGTGCCACGGGATGCAACAAGAGCATAACTAGATGAAAGAAAGCAACTTTATCTGTTGCTAGAAGAAGAAATAGAGCTCTAGACTGCTTAGAAAAAAAGATAATTTTTTTTACAAATCAATTAAAGTGTGTGGACAGAATGACAGAATGAGTGTTCGATTCACAACTTTTATGCTTTGTAAAAAATAGCAAAGATACTTAAGCTGTTTCAAAAACATACCACCTTGATCTACTAAGTCTAAGCTTTGCAGCAATCCCAAAGTTGTAGGTAAAAGAAGTCTAGTTTAGAAGAAATCGCGTTCGGAAATGGATGGTGACCGGAAGTGAGTGCTTGACTCTATGTACTTCAAAACTGAAATATATGGCCCAGCTGAGATAACCTAGAACTATGATCATTGTATTCTTTTATACATTGTAGCCGGTATTATGACAACAGCTATTCTTGATCATTAAATCATGCTCTCCTGAATGATTAAAAATAATCGTGATCATATAACCTTTACTATTTTATTTTAGAGACACGGGGTCCATGATCAATCCAAATAATTAAATCTATACTGATGTAGAGATACAAAAGAAGAATGAGGAGACAAGCTTTGATAACAAATTAATTTCCATTATTAACTAATATTATTAATGAAGTGTATTACAAGTGATTGAGGGTGAAATTGGTCAGTAGTTTTTAGTTTAAAGTTGATTGCTAGTCTTCTTTGCTATCATCTTCAGGAACACACTAAACAAAAAGAGAGAGAGTACAACATCTGATTTAAACCATACTGCATACACTGAGCAACAAGAGTACTTGTAATGAGGCTACTGGTATGATGTTTATGAATAAACAATTATTACAAATGTAGCTCAAATTTAGTAGGCCACTTTATTTTGCAAATATTTACAATTTGTGAAAATTTACTTTTTTACCCAGCTAAAGTCTAACTCCAATTTACAGTACTTGTATAATCATTCAGTCCAATTACTTACCAGGTATTCTACAAAGCAAAGTTGTTTATCCTCAGTGACTATCATGAACTGCAATGAGAGGAAACCTCTTGTGTCCATCCTTAATGCTATCTTTGATGATGGACTAAGTGCCTTAGCTGAAGGCTTTAGTAATGCAAGCTTGTATCTGAAGTGAGAGGGAAGGAGAGAGAGAGGGGGAAATAGGAAGGAGAGATGTGAATAGGATAATAGAAACTAAAAAATAGGAGAAGGAAAGAGGAACATGTCCCAAATAATGTACTTGTTCTTTTGAGTTGTTTTGCACTCGAATACTTCAACCATATCAGACTTTTTAGGATAATCAAACTAAAAATTAAGTTTGAAAATAATTACACTAATACAGTGTGTATTTACAGTAATTCCTACCTGAGTGGTCCCTGTATATCCATGAGTAGACAGTCTAAAATTTGGTTCTCCTTCTGACATGTAAATCTCAATAAATTCACTACTCAAATCCAACTCATTGAAAGTCTCCCTCATACACTCTGACTGAATATTGAATAATAGTTACAAATAATGATGATGATAAATTACTGTATTATTATTTTACTTTAATGATCACTTTATTGCAAACGTTTGCTGATACAAAATCAAAGTCAAGCGTTTCATCAGCTTCTGATGTTTGAATTGAACACTCAGTGACCACTTCATTCTCTTCAAGACTACAAATGAGAGAGAGAAATGATTAAAAAGTGCAATTAAACAGCTTAAAATGATACGATTCATACCATATAGCAGGTATATTCCATAGAAGTTTAATTTTTCTTTTTGTTCTCATTCCTTGTGGACAAATATTTCCAAACAAAAAAGGTATTGCATCACTGCCATGTGTGCAAAATGGCTGCTCAGAATGAAAGTAAAATGAATAAAATCTCTAATCCTGCTTAAAACTTTTCCCCAGATGAATACCTGCTATATGGCATCAGGGGCATATATAGGAATATGGGAAGAGGGGTGCTGAGGGCGCGCGAAGCACGCTGCGATTTTGGCCACACCCACTTTTACGGCGGTAAAATGGCCTTTTCCTACATTTTTGTCAATTACGGGTGGGGCCAAAATCATTTCAAGCATACTGCCATGTTACTGGTACTTCTGATTGCTCCTTAAAGCACTGGAAACTGCTGAAATTATGATCAGGGGGCTAGATAACTTTGTTAGGAGGCTTGGTAGTGATGCAAGAGTCCAGGATTTGAGTAATTTTTTTCTGAACCCAGCCATGAGGGGTGTGCTCAAGCCCCCTCAGCCCCCCCCCTAAATACGCCTCTGGCATACATTTAGCTATTATAGAAGTGAATGCAGCCAGAAGTGCAAATTTTTATAAGCTGCTAAAAATTATGAACCCAGCTCAACCGGCCTGCTATTGTATACTCATCCAATAATAATTACAATTATTACTATTATAGACCTCTTTGGGTGAGAATGAATTACATCAAAAAGAATGATATACAGCAAGGGGCGTACTGAGGCTGAGTTGACTCTAAAATAATCTTTGTGGATGGCAACTTTCCATGGAGTATTGAATGGGCTAATGCAGAAAGCAAGCTGTAATAGAGAATGTACTACAAATTGCACCAAATCCCTATTAAGAGATGCTTAGCAGCAAACATTCTTTCCTCCAACCAACTTTTGTAGCTTAGACAAGCTCCATGCCAAAAAAATCGGTTTGGTTTTTCTTCATTCATCATGCTCCATTGAATTTTGCAATCCAAAATGGCGGCCAATTATGATACAAAGGTGGATACTGAAAAAAGGAATGATATTCATAGGCCACTGTCATTCTCACTTGAGGAGGAGGTCTATTATAATTATTATTATTTAAAACTTAACTGCACAACATTATGTACTTCACTTTAAATAGCAAAGACCAAAATTAACGTACACTAATTGAAGTGGAGTCCCATATCCATCATAGTACAATCTTAATGATGTGTTTGCTTCATTACCAAAAATACACAAACATTCCTATTTAATTAAAAAGACGACCAATCTTCAAAATTATTTCACACAAAACAATCCTTACAATTAGAACATTAAGGTCAATATTAAATATCAGTGTGGAGTCCTCATTGTAGTTGTAGGCTTGAAAGAGATCTGATTTTACAAAACAATTTGCTTGTACACACTTTGCCTGCTCTACTGTCACTCTCAATCCAGTGGAACTGATAAAGCAGGTTGCAGTCTAAAAATTGTATATATAAGTCCTTATAGTGGTTTTATATTGATTTTCACTTACATCTCTAAATTGTATAGCTTTCAATACGTTGGAAAGTGTCCTTGCATTTATCATAAAGGCATTTAAAACGTGCTCATCTTGACTCTCCATTGCTGTAACATAGCCACGCCTTTGATACCACGCCTACTTTGTTACTCGTGTGAGGTAAGTACTCAGATATTTAGGAATCATCATTTTTATGATCCATTTTCTTAATAGTCAAATTCAAAAGAAAATGGTGAAAGACCTTAAATTAATTCATTCTATGTGAACAATCAGGTGTGTCAAGTCTACGTGTGCCAAGGAGCGTGTGTGCACT